GTAGTTGTTTATCTCTCTTTTTCTCAGCTTCTTTATTTTCCACCATTTGGTCTTCTATATCACTAATTCTCTGTTCGGCCTCATTTATCCTAGCAGTTAGAGCCTCTATTTTTGATTGCACCTCATTAATAGCCTTTTTGATTTTGACTTGGTTAGGTTTTAGTCCTTTTATTTCTCCAGAAAGGGTTTCTCTAATATCTTCCATGCTTTTTTCAAGCCCAGCTAGTATCTTTAAAATCATCATTCTGAACTCTAGTTCCGACATCTTACTAATGTCCATATTGATTAGGTCCCTGGCAGCCAGTACTGCCTCTTGTTCTTTTTTTTGAGGTGATTTTTTCCATCTTGTCATTTTTCCAGAGGAGAATAGATGAATGAGAGATCAAAATGCTATCTAGGTAACAACGACCCCAGAAAAATATACACTAAACAAATCAGAAGAGACCTGAACCCAGGGGAAAAGAAAGGGAAAGAAAGAAAAAAGAAAAGAAAGAAAAGATAAAAACAAACAAACAAAAAAACAGAATATGATCAAATATGATTAGGCTGGTGTATAGATCAGTGCCACACACTAGATTTTGGGCATATTTTGGTTTGTTAGGAGAAATTGCCTCCCAAAATTTTAAAGAAAGAAAAACTTATATATGTACAAAAATAAGGGTAAATACAATCAAGGGATGGAATATGACTGTAAAGATGGAAATTATAAAAGATTTTATAAAAGGAATTGATAAGAAGTTGGTTGAAAAAAGAAAGAAGAGGATTTAAAAAAAAGGGGGGGAAGAGAATGTGATCAGGCAGGAGACTAGAACAAAGCCATACTAGTGGTTTAGGGTATATTTTGGTCTGATAGAAGAAACTGTATCCCAAAATTTTAAAGAGAGAACAACTTATATATATATACCAAAAATACGGTTAACTACTATGAAGGGATAGAATATGACTCTAAAAATGAAAAATAAAAAAGATTTTTTAAAAAAGGGATTGATAAAATGTTGGTTGAAAAAGGGAAAAAGAAAAATTCAAAAAAAAGAAAAAAGTTAAAAAAAATTAACTTTGAAAGACTAAAGAATCATGGGAAAAAAGCCATGGATTCTATGTGCATTATTCCCCTAGCGCTGGAGTTCTGCTGTTTTCATTGATGGGTAAACTTGGTCTTGGCTGGCGGTTCTTGCTGATCTTCTAGGGGAGGGGCCTATTGCCGTGGTTCCCAAACATCTTTGCCGGAGGTGGAATTGCCCCACCCTTGCCCGGTCCAGGCTAAGTAATCTGATAGGGTTTGCTCTCAGGAGCTTTTGTTCCCTGCAAGCTTTCCGTACAGCGTTGGAGGACGAGAGTGAAAACGGTGGCCTCCCAGTCTCCCTCCCGGAGAAGCTGAGAACTCAGGGCCCTGCTCCTCAGTGAGCCCCCAGAGAAAAGCAGTCAATCACTTCCGTCTCCCTGGTCTCTGGCCTCCCTCTGTGCTCACCCAGTCCTGAGCGTTTCTATCTCTGGCACACGACCCTGGGTGGAGTCTCCAAACCCAGCAGATCCGTGCGGTGCGCTCCCGCGCCGCTCCTCGCAGGGGAGGAAGGGGAGTCTCCCCGGATCTGCCACTTGTTGGGTCCCTGCTGGAGAAGCAGTGGCCCGACTGTGCCGCGGATCATGGTCTATGGCAACCCTGAGCTGAGAGCCCGCGCCTGGGCTCCGTCTCTGCAGCCGGCTTCCCTGCTCTGATACCTGGGAGCTCTGCCGCACTCAGGCACCCGTGGTCTCTCTGTGACCCCGAGAATCCTGAGACCACACTGTCTCAGTGAAGGTTCCACCCCCCGCTTAGCCACTGGATTGACATCCCTCAGCGGAGCCGATTTCTAAAAGTTCCGATTTTGTGCTCCGCTGCTCTATCACTTGCCAGTAGCAGCTGACAGAGGCCCCCTCCCCCGCCGACTATCCTCCTGAATATTGCCTTGGATTCACTTTTCCGCACGTCCTACCTTCCAGAAAGTGGTCGCTTTTCTGTTCAGAGAGTTGTTGCTATTCTTTTCTTCTATCTCCTGTTGAGTTCGTAGGTTTTCAGAATGGTTTGATCCCTATCCAGCTGAATTCCTGGGACCAGACGACATTTAGGTCCCTATTCCTCCGCCATCTTGCTCCTCCCACCCATAAGTGTACTTTTAATCCCCTTTATTTCACCCATGAGAAAAACATAATTTCTGAAAACACTTTTTTGAAAGAAAGGAAACAAATCTGTGTTGTATAAATTAGTGTAGCATTTTTGTTCCAGTTCATTGATTTCCATGAAATTGCTGTGGTCAGTGATTAGATAAACGCCTGTGTGGCCCTAATCTTGAGCAGTGGACGTGTGTTAGGCCTGTGCTGCCCTGTACTCTGCCCTGGCATCTCTCTTTGGTGGGGTGTGTGCAGGTGAAGTCATGGGCAAAAAGCAGCCAGCAAAGCCATTTCACTCAGTGTTACCTTCCGTTAAGCATGTCCCTTTTAACATGAATTTCCATCTGATTTTAGTGAGCTGGACATGATTTCCACAAGGGTGATGGATATTAAGCTTCGGGAAGCTGCAGAAGGCCTTGGGGAGGACAGCACAGGTAAGGCCTTCACTTCGCCTGCATTGGGAAGAGCCTGTGTCTGCTTGCGGGACAGGGAGAGGGGCTGATGGAGCCAAGCCTTTGGGGTTGTGTGTGGAGGGTGGGTTTCAGTTCACAGTATGTTCAAATACGCCCATGCCCTTCATACTGTGATGAGAGAGCACATCCAGATGACGTAAGGCCACTCAGGGCAGTACCCCTTTGCTTCGCTGTCAAAAACAGGGGGTTTTAAAGTCATTTTACTCATTCCTAGAGGTAAATCTGTCCCCATGTTTACTTGACTTGAAAGCAATGGAGTCATTTATCACCTAAGAACATCCAGAGGATCAGTAGGAGGTTGGAAAAAGTATGAGATAGCCTGATCATGCAGAAGAAATAATATTATCAAGATAGAGCCTTTGATCTCTTTTATGGCTTTTGTTCTCCTTCAGAGACCTTCATTATACTGCTTACTGAGCTAAACTCCAGGCCCATGACTCATCATCTCATTACATGTTCTAAGAGTTACCCAATTATGTGATTGAGTTCACTGTTATCCATCGATTGCTATTTGTGTCTTGATAGAGTTGTAAAATTGGCCTTAAAAAACACCAATCTCTGGACTACGTACCTTTTTCCTAGAGTAGCCATTTATACCCCCTTTATTTCAGTAACAAAGGTCTCCATCACTGTCTTGTTTAAAGTTAAAATGCCAGTAATTATTTTCTTTGATATAGTTCAGGAGGAACAACTTCCAGTAGTATTAAATCCTAGATGCTAACCCTTAGCTTCAGATACTAATTTCATTAAAGATTCTATTTCATATATTACAGATTTTCCTTATTATCCCATATTAGAATTACTTTTCCTCTGTTACATTTTGATAGATACCAAATAAGCCCAAATACAAGGTGAGATTTTAAAAATTAAACCTGAGAGAAAATGGAATTTCAAAATTTCTCATATTACAGGATATTGAATTATTACTGATTTTAAACAACAAAATACTCTTTGAGGAAGTATTTCATTAGTCTGAAACAGCTTCCAAAAACACTATTTTTGGATACTTACAGAGGTTACCATGAAGAATCAGTTTTTAAAATGAAAGAGAGAAACTAAGTATTCTTTTTTTCCGAATAGTGAACTAAGTTATTCACATCAACTACTTTCCTAAAATTTAAAATTCTAGATAAGCTTCAACAAATGGTGTTGGGAAAACTGGACAGCCACATGCAAAAGAATGAAACTGGACCACTTTCTTTTACTATATACAAAAATAAACTGAAAATGAATAAAATGTGAGACCTGAAACCATAAAAGTCCTATCAGAGGGCACAGACAGTAATCTCTCTGACATTGGCCATAGCAACATTTTTGTAGATATGTCTCCCTAGGCAAGGGAAATAAAAGCAAAAATAAACTATTGGGACTACATCAAAATAAAAAGCTTCTGCACAGCGAAGGAAACAATCAACAAAACTAAAAGACAACCTACTGAGTAGAAGATATTTGTGAATGACATATCCAGTAAGGAGTTAGTATCCAAAATATATAAAGAACTCATTACCCCAAAAACAAATAATCCAGTTAAAAATGGGCAGAAGACATGAACAGATATTTCTGATATCTGATTTTGGACTTCTGTTTAAAGAAGACATCTAGATGGCCAACAGACACATGAAAAGATGCTAAACATCACTTATCATCAGCGATATGCAAATCAAAACTATAATGAGATATCACCTTGTACCTGTCAGAATGGCTAAAATCAAAACCATAAGAAACAACAAGTGTTGGTGAAGATGTGGAGAAAAAGGAGCCCTTGTGAGCTATTAGTGGGAATGCAAACTACTGCAGCCACTGTGGAAAACAGTATGGAGGTTCCTCAAAAAATTAAAAATAGAACTATCCTATGATCCAGGAATCACACTACTGGTATTTATCCTCAAAATATAAAAACATTAACTTATCCCTTAATTCAAAGGGATACATGCACCCCTATGTTTATTGCAGCATTTTTTGCAATAGCCAAACTATGGGAGCAGCCCAAGTGTCCATCAATTGATGAATGGATAAAGAAGATGTGATACACACACACATGCACACACGCACACACACACACACAGGAATATTACTCAGCCATAAAAAAGAATGAAATCTTGCCATTTGCAACAACATGGATAGAGTTAGAAAGTATAATGGTAAGCAAAATAAATCAAAGACAAATACCATATGATCTCACTCATTTGTGGAATTTAAGAAACAAAACAAATGAACAAAGGGGGAAAAAAAGAGAGAGAGACAAACCAAGAAAGATTCTTAACTATAGAGAACAAATTGATGGGTACCGGAGGGGAGGTGGCTGGGGGGAATGGGGGAGATAGGGGATGGGGATGAAAGAGTACACTTACCATGATGAAAAAAACGGATAAAAAAAAATTCTAGAAAGGAAAAATCTTTTTAAAAGTAAGAAGTAAGAAGACCAGAATTGAAAGAGATATAGTGGGGTGCCTGGGTGGCTCAGTCATTAAGCATCTGCCTTCAGCTCAGGTCATGGTCCCAGGGTCCCGGGATTAACCCCTGCATCCAGCTCCCTGCTCAGCGGAGAGCCTCCTTCTCCCTTTCCCACTCCCTCTGCTTGTGTTCCCTCTCTCGCTGTGTCTCTCTCTGTCAAATAAATAAATAAAATCTTTTAAAAAAGAGAGAAATGGTAATCCAGAGAGATAAATTAGCATAGAAGCCACTTTTGCCCTCAGATTGTTTACCAATCTTAGAACTTTAGAAAATTCATTTTCATGTCTTCATGGAGTGGTAGAGGAGGCAATGGGTAAGATATCAAAGTACAGGTCTGTTCAAGGTGGGATGTCTAATAGAAGATCCTCCTGACAATAAGTTGGGAGCCCAAGGAGCAATAAAATCTGAGTAAGTGTGAACCAGGGGTAAGTCAACCCTTTATAGATTTGTAGCTTGAGTTTGTATCACTTGGGTAATTTAGAGAATCTCAGCCCTTGAACTTGGCTGAGATACTAGGAATAATAGTATTCCTAGACTGGATAGGACCGTAGGTACCTAATAGAATCAAACAATCTTCTCTAAAGAAAGCTGCCTTCTATCTAGACTTCAAATTATTAAAGAAAATATTTTTAGCTCCATGACAAATATATAGTCAGTGTTGACCAAGCATATAAAGCAGTAGGGCACCATGAATGAGAACCAACATGTTAGGGGTTTAATTTTGTCTCCCCAAAAGTCATATTTTGAAGTCCTAATCCCCAGTGCCTCAGAATATGACCTTATTTGGAAATTGGGTCATTGCAGATGTAATTAGTTAAGAGACGGTCATACCGGAATTTGGCGAGCCCCTAATCTACTATGACTGATGCCCTTATAAAAAGGAGAAATATGGACATAGACACACACACAGGGAGAACACCTTATGAAGATGAAGTCAGATCAGGGTGATATCATCTGCAAGCCAGGGAATGCCAACAATAGCCAGCAAACTACCAGAAGTTAGAGGATATGAAAGAGATTTCCCTGTCACAGCCCTTTGAAGGAAGTAACCATGCCAACAACACCTTGATCTCAGACTTCTAACCTCCAGAAATGAGAGACAATACAACTCTGTTGTTGAAGCTGCTCAGTTTTTGGTACTTGGTTACAGTAGCCCTAGCAAACTAATATAGAGCAGAAACAAGAGAAACAGACACACAAGGTATCAAATATCAAAACAATCAGGTATATGCTATAACACAATTGTGCACAGTATGTTTGAAGATAATTAAAGAAAGTTTGAAAGTATCTGGAAGGAACCAGAAACTTTTATAAAAGGTGTCCTAGCACCCAGCCAGTGCTCAAAGGCAAGAGAGAGAAATAAAAGGGATACAGATGAAAGGAAGAAATAAAACTATATTTGCAGATGTCATGATTAAACAAAATATCAAAAAAGTACTTAGATCTATCTCTTAAGTTTAGCAAGACTGCTAGATGCAAGGTCAAAACACAAATATCGATTGTATTTCTGCATAACTAGCAGTGAACAATTGAAAAATTAAATTTTTAAAAGTACCATTTACAATAGCACAAATAAAATACATTGGTATGTATCTAGCAAAATATATGCAGGATCTATATACTGAAAAATAAAAAAAAAAAGTTGCTTAGATCAACAAAGACCTAAATACATGGAGTGATATATTATGCGTTATGGACTGAATATCTGATTTCCCCCCAAAGCTCATATGTTAACGTCCTAACCCCACCATGTGATGATATTAGGAGGTGGGACCTTTGGCAGATGATTAGGTCATGAGCATGGAGCCCTCATGAATGGAATTAGTGCCCTTATCAGAAGAGACCAGAGAGCTGCTTGCTTGCTTTCTGCCATGTGAGGGAACAGCAAGAAGTTTCAGTCAACAACCTTTAAGAGGGCTCCCTGCAAAACCCCACCATGCTGGTTCCCTGATCTCAAGCTTCTCGCCTCCAGAGCAGTGAGAAATGAATTTCTGTTATTCATAAGCCACCCAGTCCGTGGTACTTTATTAGAGCAGCCTGAACAGACTAAAACCACATTTATAGATTGGCAGACTCAGTGTTGCTACAATGTCAGTTCTCCCCCAAACTGAGCTGCAGAATGGTGTGTTAATGTATGTGGGGTAGAGTATACTGCGTATACGTCTGCTGGGGAAGGCTGGATACGGTTCAGTATTCTGTAGCAAGAATAGTGACCGGTGATCATTTATTTGATTTCCATGACGAGTCAAAGATTTTTTTTATTTAGGAAGAAGCCAGATCCGTACGGATGAAGTGATAATAGTATCTGGGAGGATTTGCTTTGAAATAATCTGGCAGGGATGGGAAGGAGGAGGGGAATAAAGATGAAACAATCAAAATCCCACCAAGATATTTTTCTAGCATTGACAAGCTGATCCCAAAATTTACATGAAAAAGCAAGAGAACTAGAATAGTGAAAACAATTTTGACAAAGAACAAAATTGGAGGACTCATATTACCTGATTTCA